AAAAATTGGCTAGAAATGGGAAAAATTATGATCAGCTAAAATGGGTTAATTATATTTCACATTCATTATGTATAAATGAAAAGCCCAGCATTATTCAAAAGCTTCACTCAATTAAATCTTCATGAACTTAAAATTCTTATTGGTCCCTAATTAAATTAGGGGAATTACTGGCAATCTGAATTGGAGTTGATCTGTATTTAGGGACCTCTTGAACAAGGTCCCTCATCAATATAGTGTCTTGCATATCGCTGCCTTAAATCTACCCCTGTGATGCTTCCATCTCAGTTGATCTAATTCCTGGTTTTAATTTTTTCCTTCTCATGAATTCTGTATCTGTGGGTCCCAAAGAAGGAATGATTATTAGTTGCTAAAGTAAATCTTTCATTTTTGTGGCACTGTTAGGGTCTCAATGTGGGGCTCTCTGGGCTTCTTGGCTCTTGAGTGAAAATGTAGTGTTTTCTAAGCTGGGAAAATTCCTAGAAGGCATAAATAAGCAAGCCAAGAGAGAAACTCACTGTTCAAAGGTGGTTAAATAGGAATTTGGCAACTATATCTAACAGTGGAATGCCAGCTTTTTCTAAGGTACTTGTCTCCTAACTTCTGAATACACATACACTGACAAAAGAGTATATGCTCATCAACAAGACATTAACACTTATTGTTGCCTTTAGGCCAATCTGTAGAGTAAAAGTTTAGAGTTCTTCTAAACAAGGTAATTCATACTTCTCCCTGGATTTAATAGAAGCTCTTGAGTATTTCCTATATGGATTTATTCCTTCTTTCATGAGAGAGAAATTAACATGGAGTTATATTCCAGGATCAGAAAATATATAACTTAATGCTAAATAGTTATAACTTAAAGTATAAGGGAATTTAGTTTAAATGTTGATGAAATCCCTAAGTAGTCATGATTATTGCCATTGGGTGTCTGTTAGAAAGAGGAGACAAAGACTCCAGAAATATCCCTTCATTCCAACACCCAAGTTGCTCTTTTTATGTACCTGCTGCTATACCATCAGAGGTGCAAGCCTGCATTTGAAAAGCTGACACATGGCTGTCTTCCAACATTTCCTGCCAATATAAATTAATGCTTACCATAAGACACACTTGGATGGTACAAAAGGATGGTCCTGTGAGAGATAATTGAGGAACAACTGAGTAGTTCTGCCTCTTATACGTCAAATCGAAGGGTATATATTAATTAATTACAAAACAGTCCATTATTGTTTCTTGCCAGACCTAGTGTTATGTATGTCCACAGTGATAGCATCATATTTGTTTAGGAGGGAATATCTGTCTCACAGGAACTGGTATCTAGAGGAAGATTAATCACCCTGCCAGTTAATTAAAATAATGACGCTTAATGCTGCATAGTTTATTTCATTTGTAAAGTTAAATGGATGTTATTGCTCTCATTTTATCCCCTACCATTTTCAAACCACAAAAGAGACATACTATCATTTATTTAGTTATTTAATTATTCTTTTCTTTGACTAGGAAGATATTGAGGTTTACCAATGTAAAAGCATGGGGTTTGCAGAGCTTAACTGGATGTTATTCTTCCTCTTGAATGCCTGGATCTTAAACGCCAGCTACTTCATGCCAAAGAGAAACCAAATAAAGAGCTGATGCTAAAACTTATTTTTCACCAAGTTTTCTGTATATGAGATGATTGTGCTAAGCAGAGTATGTTTATGAATAGAAAGTAGGTGTCAGAAACAGGGGTACCTAATAATTACAGCTCTCCTGTTTATAGTTTGCTTGGTGGTGAAGCAAGGGAAGTGAAAAAAATCATCCATTCTTAAGAGGAAGTGCAGAAACTGTTGCTGAAATAATGAAGCAGAGAAGATCCTGTAGGTTGGTGAGATAAAAAATTGGGAGTCATACTGAAGCCTACAGTTGGTTTTCAGTGATAAAAAGGCCCTCTTTTAATTTCACTAAAATCAGAAAATCATGATTATTTCAAGTAGATGTGTCAGACTACATTTGACACTGGGCTTCTTGCATATGTGAGACTGTGCTGCATCCCTATGATCAGTGGTATAACATTTGTGTAAAATTGATTCAAGAATACTTTTGGACTCTGATCTAGCCTCAGATCTTTTAAATGTACATAGTATTGACTTAATTCTTAACAGTGATAAACATTTCTGAAAGGAAAACAGTAAATATTTGTTTTATTTGCCTGTCAGTTGGAGACCTCAGTCTATGATAGAGCTCTCTGCAGGAAACAGGAAAAAACTATGCTGCAGGTTATTTTAGGTCTCATGTCTATGAATTTCTTTTGTTAATATTCTAGGCATTACTATTATTTAGATGGTGCATGTTTCTTCCTCTTTCCTTGGGATATGGTTGTTTCGAATTTTTTACATTTGGTAACACACTACACCTTTCTCATCCATGAAAAGTTATAGTCACAGTGAAAATGTTATCAGTGTCAGTAATTTTCAGGAAGTATGACTCTGCGCTCTTCCTATGGGTCAGAGACGTCCAGTTACAGAGCAGAACTGATACTTTAAGGATCAGTCATATGTGTGAAGGAAAACACTTAAAGGAAATTGTAGAGCTGAAATCCATTCATGTTCAGAAGGCCAATGTGTAGTTTTTCTTCCATTTCAAGTTCAACCTCTGTCATTTTAAGCCTTCTCTGTGATATAATGCTTTATTCTCAGAAAAAAGGGAAGGAATTGTGAGACACTTTCACAGCACTATTTTTGTCCATAGCATTCTTCTAGACTTGAATCAGTATCTCAATGTGTCAATAAAAAAACCCCCAACCAAACCCTAAATAGCTACTTATATCTACAGATGAGTGAGAGAGAATATATTTGGCCAGTGATCTTTCTGAATCAGCAAGAAGTTAAAACCTTTGTCTTTCTCCCCACACCCACAAAGCCTTTGGGCCCTTGTCAGAAATGTGTTTTGGTACAAAATATTGATTAGCATATCTGGCTCTGTTGGCACAACTTCTCTATGTGTATGGCTTGTCTGCTGCATTAGAAAGCAAATGTCAGGAGCTGGGATATTGAATACAGGATGAACTTGCCCACCTAGAAAATCTTGCTAGTCTTTGTCAGCGTTTCCCTGTGTGTTTTTTGGATGCTGAGACTGAGTTTGGGAACACAGAACAGCCAAGGATGTATTAAAATCCAAAGGATTTAGGCCTTTTGGCTTTAAACATGCTTTCTAGAAAACCAAATTTATATATATATATATAAACAAATTATTACAGTGATACTAAATAGTCAGTATAGAAATGATAGAGGAACGGGATTGAACATGATTCCAAAATTGGCTGCTGATAGCCTTGGGACTTACTTGCCTTTGTTGAGCAAAGGTGGCAGTGGCCCTCCAGATGTTACCACCACATGATCAAAAAATGGAATAAAACTGATCCCTGGATGTCTTTATCAGTCTTGTCTGACCTTTCTCAGTGGCTTGGTCGGGCACTGCTGAATTGCATGGCTCTTCTGCTGGTTATGTGGTGGGAGATCAGCATAGAAAATTATTCAAATTACTAAATTACATCTGTCTCTTGAGCAATAGGTTGGCAGATACAGACCACCTAATTAGAACTGTGAAATGGTTTTAAAAAATTTGCAAGTTTTTTGGTATGGAAAATGACCTGTTTTGATGTGACCAGAAGGTATTAAGTCTGTGGCTGTGACCTTGCAAACAAAGTTTACATGAAAATATTAATAAGAAAGGGTTAATTTTTTATGTGTCAGTGACACAGCTCTGTGCTATGTGTTGGCATGTGGTAAATGACAGGTAATGGATGAAAATATTTGCACTATGAAGAACTCCAGAATGAATTGGTTCATACATTAGTACTCGTCTTGTAGTTGAGACTTGTGAAAACTGCTGTAGAAAAGGCACTGGGTTCTGCAGTATTGTCCCTTGTTACTGGGATTAATTACTGCCTCACTGAGCAGGGCCAACACTCTCCTCAGGCTTCCTTTTCTGGCACTGTACATGCAGAAACTCTTCCTGCCCATCTTCTCTTTTGCTAGTTTGAACTCCAGCTATGCATTGCTGATTCTACTCCTACCTCTGCAGCCAGTGTCTGTGTTTCTTCCAAGCAGCTGTCCCTGCTTTTGGATTCTGTGTCCTTTTGTTCTGTGCCTGAACTCAGCCAGGAGCTCTCCTTTTTATCTGTGCTGGCCTTGCTGGATTTCTGCAAAGTGGGATGAACTGTTCTTGTGCTCTGATAAGGCTGACCTTGAACTTTAGCCAGCTCTCCTGGGTCCCTTTGCCCTGTAAAGAAGTTTCCCATGGGATCCTTCCAAGCAGGTCCCTGCAGAGGCTGAAATCTTCTCTTTGCATTCAAGGACTGCAATACTGTTGATCCTACTCATTCCTCTTGGTATCTTGAGCATCTGGATTTCCTCTGACCCACTAAATTGACCAGCAGACAACAGAGGCACATGAGAGACAGCTCCTGTGAGAGTGAGACTTTTCCCAGCTGCCCCAGGAAGGTTTTATCTGCCCCTTCTTCTTGATTATCAGCCTGATATTTACCTGGAGCACTGAATAACTGCTTTTGCTCAACAGCAGGGTTGAGAAATGCATCCCCTGGGCCCCACATCTTTCACCCTTGCCAACAGGGTGTCCTGTACAGTACACACAGGCCTTGTGTGCTTATTTAATTCTGAGGTAAGGAATACCAAGGGGAGTGAATTTATAATTTCATAGTACATTTCTGTGGGGCAGGCTTGATATTGGTAATCAGATGGTTGGTGTTTTTCTTTCTTTTTTCCTCTGCTTTGAGATTGATTCTCTTGTGCACGGTATGGCAGGAGTTGCTGTACCTGTATGTCTCAGAGTATTCTTAGTTAAGTGCTCGGGGGCGAGGGAGAGAAGTAGCAGGTAATCTTGGAGTCTTTCATCACAGAAGCCCTAGAGGATCCTTTTAACATAAAATTACTTGTACTTAACATAAAACATACAGTAAATGAAATGTTCCTTCAGGTAAAAGTGTGACCGTTTGGGAAACTTACCTCATCCTATCACTTAGCCAGTTGCTCTACGGAAGAGGAAGGAATCGAAGGGGGAGTTGGTGATTAGTACATTAGCTTGAAACCTTGAACAGTAAAATCCTCGTTTTCTCCGTCTTGTCTTTTCTTGTCTTACTTGACAAGTCTATATGAGATTGTCTTTATAACATTTTAAATAGTAGTAATCTTACTGAATATTTGCTTCAGCTGCAGAATGTACAAATAAGCTCTGCCTTAATGTGCTTGAATAGACTTTTTTACCTTAATGTTCCCTTCAGGGATTCAGATTCACAACTTTCAACCTTTTCTTCTTCCTACTTCTGTCTCTGAAAACATCAGCATTTCTTTAAGTATCTCCACTTCTTCCTCAGGCAGTTTGTCATGAGGTATTTCTTCTGGTCTATGAATTCTCTTTAAGCTGACTTTTTTCTTTCTTTGACTGTTTTAGTTTTTCTGGGGGGGTTGGAGGTTTTCTTTCATTTTATTTTATTCTCAGTTCCACATCAGCTCCCTTGCTACAGTGTTGACAATTTTGTGATGCTGCTGTTTAAAAAAAAAATAAAAATTAATGAACTTTGTTCACTGTTCCTAACAATTGTCTCTTCTCTTCTAGCAATTGGAAAATTGAGCCTGTATAAAGGAAGAAACTTTTTAGAGGCTGAGGCTCTGACATTGCAGATATCTCTTTCCAGTCTTTCTTATTTAAAGCATGATAGTAGTTTCACTGGTTTGAATGGTATCACTGATAGTAGTTTCACTGGTTTGAATGGTATCACTGACATGCTGATGTTGGGCACATGTACCGTGCTTGCAGGGTCAGGAGCCTTCAAGTTTTTCTCAAATGAACTTGTCAGACTTTTTCTAATTATCCATAATCAGAAAAAAAAAAAACCCAAGCCAAAAACAAAAAAAAAACCAACCCCAGATACAGAAGAAATTGCATAAATTAAAGGTCTTCCTAGGAAATTATTAGGTTCAATCAAGTTGTGCTGCTGTCATTTTAGATGTCCTTCAGGCTTTAGAGACATATTCTTTGGGTCAGGAAAGATTTGCTCTATCTGTATATTTGTAACTGGAAATAAAGAACAGTGTTCTAGTGTTCCATGAGCATTAGTCTGCTTGCTCATATCTTTCAGTAATAAAGAGTATAAAACTACCTTCTTCATATGTCTGATATAAATAATAAAGTAAAAACCGATAACAGTTTTTTTAGGACACCTGCTTTTCTTTATTTTTCCAGATCACCTTTGTCTATCACTCCTTAGAGTCTTAGTTCCACTCCCTCTGCATTATAAAATATTGCCAACAGTTTGGAACTTTCTTTCTACTTTCAGGAACATTTCAGTACTGCTCTTTTCCATCACTAAGCATGATTAAATGCTGTAGTAATACCAAAATTACTGGTTTATATTTGCATTGTCTTATTTACACTCATTTGTCATGCATGTTAGGCTCCTCTTCCTAGAAATGAAGTCAACAAATGTTGTTATCCAAAACAGTTGGTGAGTAAGTATATTGGAATGATTTTTTAAGCATCAAATACCAAACTGACATATTTTAGGGAATGCTGAGGAGCAGAAAACTGTTGGTGTTCTTTACTTAAGAGCTGGTTGTTTGCTTTTATTCCAAAACCACCTGCTTGCTGACTTTTTCTCTCCAGTGTTAAAAAGTATCGAGTTCATTACGATCAGATCAAAATGATTTTGACTGTCACAAGTAACATCTTAGGAGGATCTTGGTATCATAACACTGGTTTAACATTATAATAAATGTACTGAGGTTTTTTTTTTTCAGTGTGGTAGTATGGAATCTTATGCTTCTGACTTGGCTTATCGATTTTTCTATGATAAGAAGTGCTGTTTGCCATTTGTTGGTTTTCTGCTTGGTCAAGGAAAACTGTCTGCTTAGTTGGCTCTTCTCTCCATACTCTTTTCCTTGAATTAGTGTCTTGTTTCTCAGAGCTGTGCTTTTGCCTATGCAGAACACCCTCTTTGTTAAAACACAAACACAATCATGATTCTGAAGTAAACATGCAGTACCTGCAAATTTGCCTCTAGCCTAAAGATGTACCCACGGAAATTTAGGAACTTGAGGGGGCTGGAGATAGGACTAGAATGTTACACGAACCAGGTACATGGCAGGCTCAGCCAAGGGAGAGGAGGTGGTTCTCCAGGCAAGGGGTTGATAGCAAGGGACACAGAGAGTGCTCAGAATGTTAAAGTTAGCAATGAGCCAAGCAGGAGAAACAGGAAACTTATGGGATGATAGAATCCATCAAAGGCCCTGAATACAGAAAGGCCACCTTGAGCTGAGGAAGTCTCTCTGTTGCAAGCTCAGGGAATACTTGAGGTAATTATTTTCTCATAACTGTTGTTTTTGGGTTTTTTTTTGCTTCCCCAGCTAGTGTCTATAGTTTGCCATGAGAGGCAGCACACTGTGCTGGATAGATTATTGAACAGACCCTTATGGCTATTCTTGTGTGTATTTATTTTCTTATTTGCATTTTAGTAACCTCACTCTGAGACAATTAGTCTCCACAGGCTTCTCCTGTTGCCAGTGAAATGAAAGGCTACAGCTCTGGTGAAGTTTGGTGTTAGTTTGAGTGAGAAGGAAATTGAAACCATTTCTACCTTTTCACTGACTACAGGAGAACATAGAGGGTTTGGTTTCCTTATGCTAATGTACTCTGTGAATATCCACTGTGGTACTTCCCCAAATTGCTTACAATTTAATTTGAAGCAATGCGTAACAATTGACTGTAACAAACAAATAAGAGGAATGATGAGAAATGCAAGAACTAAGGTGCCTGTAATAAAATGATTACATGGCTCCAAGTGACTTCTGTCATTGGACTTGGGAGCAGAATGAGGCATTAAAAACTAAGCAGTATGAAATGTAACATTCCAGCAAATTTGAAAGCACTGAGGGAGTACTGACTCTCATTCATATGTGGACTTTATGAAGGGTACTTATTTCTGTGCTGAAGCTCATAAAACAAAATGTTTTAAAATATTTGTCTTTTTATATTGCAAGGTCAATATGTTGGTCTAAAATGTTAACAAAATAGCCATTTGGCTCTGAAAGCTCCCTTTTACAAGAACAATTCACAGCTCTGTGTGGTGCTGTTCTCTGTGCTGCAGCCCTCCAAGAACAAAAAAATCCTGAGGAAAGAGAAACTCCTCGAATAAAGAAATTCTCTCATGCATTGCCAGACTGAGTCACCCAGAACATTAAAAAAATAGCCCACTAAATTGATAAAGCAGAACTGTCATCCTATGTATATTTTTTCCCCTTTGTGTGCATATATGCATACACAAAGATCCCTCAAATTGTTTGGGCTACTCTTTCTAATATGGAAATGAGACTATTTTTTCTTTTTAGCCTCAGTGTGAAATTAATTACTTTGAAATCTTCAAATTGCACCTAATTCACCCAAAGGAACTACACCTAGATGTCCCTTTAAGCTCTTTTCAGGTTGTTTGAATGTTGTGCAAACTGGGATTGGGTCTTAACTGTCCATTTGGGTTGAAGTTATATGTAGAGGAATTGCAGGAAATGAAAGGTTCTTCGTTCTCCCTCACTGTGGAGAGAAAAAAAGCCCAAAAGATTTAAATGAAAGTAAGTTCTAATACTCAACCATAAACAAAATATTGTATATGCAGATCTGTATGTATGCAGTTACATATACAGATGAATGTACAAGAAATCTGGAGTGCATTTCATAGATCTTGGGAACAAGGGAAAACAGCTGAGGCTTTATTGCTGCAGTTCAGCTTTGCTGAGCCTTGCAAATATAGAATGTTGAAAGAAAAGCTAATAAGAGGATAGCTGTTGGCAGAAGAGGCTCACATTTATCAGCAGTTTCAATTAGAGTTAGGTACTGCACTAACAAAAGCCATAGCAAATGTGAGAATCAAAGAAGTGACTTGATTTACAATTACCTCTGTGCCACTGATGTGTTTATGAAACGATACAGTAATGAGTAAAAATACTAATGTGAATGGAGAAGCCAGATCAGATCTATCTCCCAAGTGTACTGTACAAATGTTGAATGAGAGAGGAAAGAAATAATAAGGGGGAAGAATGGAAAACTTGTGGAAGCTGAAACCACGTCATAATTTAACAGCAGTCTTAAGATTCACTATGCAGGAGGTGATGGAAAGAGTGTCACAGTTAAATGACATTAGGTATTTTCTTCTAGAAGTTAATCATAACCAGATCTCTGTTCTTAAACAGTACTTTAAGTACAGAAAAAATTGCTGGTACCAGTAAGAAATATTGGAACAGTAGGCAGTGTAATTCCAAGACCTGATTCTTTGAAGATCAGAGAAAGTTTGACAGGGAATAACTTAGAGCATTTGTGCCCATTTTGTTCAGAATATGAAAGATCATTCATCCATCTCTGCTTAAAATGTCATTAGAGTGTATGGCAGGTGGCAGAGAAATCTGAATGTCAGTGAAATAAAGCATAAGAGATTTTCCTGGTGAGGCATGAAGGTTGTCATCTCTAAGTCCTGTTTCTTCAAACTTCCTTTATCTTTGGAAGAGAGGGGAGGATAAAAAAAGAAAATTTAATGGAATAGAAGATACTGGGTTATTTCCAAAGATCTTATGTGAAAGTTACACTACTGATACTTGAAAAAAATAAATGCTTCTGTGGATCTTTTTGTGCCTTTTGCAAGAGTCAAGGAGGTCTGTCAGGAGAGACTGATCTGCAACTCTGAGGTTTCAGCAGGCTTCCTGGCAGCTACCCTTTGCTACAGAATGTGTGTTATTATCTGTTTATTACCTTGTTTGGATGACACTTTCAACTGGCTTCCCCTCAGCATGTCTTTAATGCCAGAGCACTTCTGAAAGAGACTTTCAGGCTGTGACAGGATTGCCTGGGTTTCTTGGCCATGCCTATGATATGATGGTTTCCAGCACAGCTAGAAATGAATGCAGTAACTACCTGCTGTTTGAGATGTTCACAGCAAGTTGGACTGGCTGCAAGAGAAGAAATGTGAATTTGAATTGAGGCAGATAAATCTTTAAGGTTGCACAATTCATAAATGGCGCTCATCTGAAACTGAACAAGTCTTAAGACATGCGTTCTGGCTTGAGGGGGGTGGAAAATAACATTAACAAATGATGTGGGGTAGGACCTTTTGTGACTGAAAACAAATCAAAGAGCTCAGCTTTGTTGTGTGGTACCAGTCTGGAAACTCCAGGGTAACTGGCTAAATACAAGCTCCTTACCTCAAAAGGGAGTGGTTGTGCCACAGCTCCTTTGCCACCTGCAACTGTCCTTTGAGGCTTGTCCTGAATACAGAGCACACCTAAAATGTCATTATTAGTCCCACCCAACACAATGTAAGAGTGAACACAGAATCAGGTACACAAGAGAACTTCATACAGAGTTATGGGATTTTTTTTTATTTTTTTATTAAGTGAAGGAATTTCACAAATCTGTTTTAGAAATTTGACATGTTTATCTTGGAAGCTGCTTTGTAAGTATTACTTTCATCAGAATGTTAACATACAAACTTGTTTTTATATCTTTT